AGAGGCTTATGTGATTTTGACTGAGTAAGGCCGAGGGCCTGTGTTGTGAGGATATCTTTTGGGTTGGGCTGCACGCCGCAGCGGTGATACACTGATACTGATTATGAGGCCGAGGGCCTGAGATTGTACGCCATGAGGTGGCTTGATATTGATATGAGCCCGAGAGCCTGTTTATGATGCCACGAGATGGCTTGATATTGCGCTTGGGCCGTAAGGTACCCCTCCAGGAGTTTGCACACCCCCAGTGAGCGCGGGTACCCAGTGTGATGTGAGATATAGCCCGAGGGGCTGGTATTGTTCTATGTGATTGCCCGAGGGGCTGGTACTGTTCTGAGATATTGCCCGAGGGGCGGATTCGTTGACATTGTGCCCGAGGGGCGAACCTTATGTGCTTATCTTTCTTATTTGCCTGTCATTTACTTGCTTAATTGTGTATTTGTCCCTGAGGGGCGGATTTCTGTGCTTATCTGCACTAGTTGTTCTGCATTCATTTGCGTAACTGTTGAAAAAGTCATTTTCAAAGAGTTTTAAACTGAGCTAAGATGTTTTAAGGGATTTTACAGCTTCATTGCTTTCTTACTGGTTTTGTACCACTACTATACAACCTGTTGATGCACTTTTCATGATTTCTTATCACTCAGTCTTTATTTATGATTATTACTCACTGAGCTGGAGTACTCACTTTACTCCCTGCACCATGTGTGCAGATTCAGGTATTCTACACCCGGTAATGGGTTGGGGCTGATCGGAGGCAGAGTTATCGGAGTTTAGCAAGGTAGCTGCCGCCATTCGCAGCACTGCTTTTCTCCCTCCTTATTTTATTAGTCTGTACTTAGTACATTCCAGACTTTGTCAATTGTATTTAGATTTAGTAGATGCTCATGACTAGTGACACCCCGGTTTGGGTTGTGTTTGGGGTTGTACTTCCGCATTGTTATGATATTATCCGCTGTTTAGCGTTATTAAATCATGTTTTAGCCTGTTGTATTGCTGCTTAGCTGTTTAACTTCGAACTGGAAATGTGTCGGCTTGCCTTGTCTTCACGAGAGGCGTCATCACGACCGGGTCTGGGTTTAGGGTCGTGACACTCCTATCTCTTAAAATTAGACTTGAAAAAAGCGTTTGATAGGTTAGAATGGTCTTTTATTCGGATGAAACTTATATATTTTAATATTCCTACATCCTTGATAACTTTAATTATGTCTTGTGTTACAACGACCTCCATCTTTATTTTAATTAATGGTACTAGGACTCAATATTTTACACCTTCAAGAGGAATTCGTCAGGGTGATCCTTTGTTACCATACTTGTTCATAATGTGTATGGAAATGCTCTCACGGAGCATTACCTTATCAGTGGATTACCTTCAATGGCAACCAATTTTCATAACTAGAGAAGGGCCACAAATTTCACATCTATTATTTGCAGATGACATTATTTTATTTTTCAAGATCACAACTAAGAGTTGTTATGCAATAATTGATGTCCTAAATCACTTTACTCTTTGTTCAGGGCAAAAGATCAACTTTGATAAATCTAAAATATTTTTCTCAAAAAATGGTACTCAATCAGATCGGACTTATGTAACTGACTCCTTTTCTATAAAGGAAGGGACGTCGTTAGTTAAATATTTAGGATTTCCTATTTTCGCACGACCTAAAAACGAGGACTTTCAATTCCTTCTAGATAATTTCAAGAATAGATTAGCGGGATGGAAAACTAACTTTCTAACTATTACTGGACGCACTACTCTTATTAAATCTACCTTGAACAATCTACTCAACCATATTATGCAGTATATTCAGATTCCAACGTATATCACTAATAAAATGGAGCAATACCAGCGTAATTTTCTATGGGGTACTACTTCAATAAAGAAAAAGATGCACCTTATTAAATGGAATGTTGTAACAACACCAAAAGAAATTGGTGGCCTGGGTATTCAAAAATTAAGCCACTAAAATACGGCTTTACTTGCAGGACTTGCTTGGAGAACTTTTAAATCACCACAAGCAATATGGGCAAAGATTCTCATTAATAAATACCTTCATAAAAGAAATGCGGTTAATAATTCAAAAACTTGGTATAACATTTTGAAAGGTTGGCAACAATGCCAAATTAATAAATGAAGGATAGGTGATGGCAAACATATTATATTTTGGGATGACCCTTGGATAAAACCAGGCACAAGAATGCGTTCTATGATCCAAGGACCCTTAACTCTGGAACAAAACAATTTAACAATTTCGAAACTTCTTAATGAAACGGGATGGAATTGGGAAAAAAATCCCTTTTGACTTGGCCCATAATATTAAAAGTTTGGTTAGTGCTACTTATGTTTCTAAACTACACAATCATGGAGATCAAATCTACTGGGGTCTGACGACAACGGGCAATTTTATCGTTCATCAATGTATACCAAACTAGAATTAGAGGCACATCAACCTACAACACCTTTAAATACTTTTTCATGGATTTGGAAACTCCCTATCCATCCAAAAATTAAAAGTTTTATTTGGCTTCTATGCCACAATAGGTTACCAACGCGACTTTACTTAAAAAAAAAACTAATATCATCCAAGATGCAACTTGCTTTTACTGTAAAAGGGAGGAAGAATCAATCAAACACATTTTCCTTGAATGTGTAAATGCTATGAAATATTGGCAGGAAATAGGACTTATCCTCCTTATTAATCATATTACAAACTTTTCATCAACACAAACTTCGTTACGTAAACTAATTACCTATAAAAACATCAAACTACCTTTCAACATGAACCCTAACACCTACCTACCAATTAGTTTATGGAATATTTGGATTACCCGAAACAATAATCTTTATAATATGACTAGGGATAACATTCGCCTTAAATATACAACTCAACAAGCAGCGGAATACACTTACTTGGCTGCTTCTACATATAAGACTGATCATAAAACAAAAATTACTAAAAATGTTAAATGGAATCCACCAACTACACACTTCTATAAGCTCAATACAGATGGAGCATATTCAGACACCACTGCGGGGATAGGCGAACTAATTAGAAATTCCAAAGCTGAATGGATATTGGGCTTCGCAGGATCTGCACCACATGAATCATCCACCTTTGCAGAACTCTATGCATTGACACAGGGATTGAAGTTGGCATATGAAAATAACATAAGACACTGGAAGTGAAGGTGGATGCAAAGGAAATTACCATACTATTACATACTGACAATATTGCATTCTCTAACATGATTAATGATTGCAGGTACTATCTGGGCCAGCTAGGTAATCCTGTAGTCCAACATGCGTACAGAGAACAGAACATGGTAGCAGATCAACTAGCAAAGGCAGGCCACAATTTTGGAAATGACTATTCGCCAAGTGTTTTTGAAGTTGTTCCCACTTTTGTTGCGCAAATTTTTGACAAAGAAAAGGCATGTTTAGGAGAACCAAAATCAGGCCAATACAGTGCTTGGCAAAATCAAAGTGGCAATACAGATCAACTGCCCTCGTGTGTAATTAGTTGTCATGATGATAATTCCAATAGGATGTCCATGACAACCGTAAATATTAGTACCAGCTTACTACTTTGTCAATAATAATTAAATAGATATCCTATTGTTTCAATAATGTCCTTTGAAATTTAATGAATAAAATCTCTATTAAAATAATGAGACTTATATAGGCATCAAATAAGTTTTTGTGTTATGTATTATTCTTTATTATACTATCCAATATATAGTATATTTCATTGTTAATAGAAACTTTTATTAGCATATTACTTTATTTAAATTTTTGTATGTTACTTTCTTTTTACAATATAATAGAAGATTTTTATTTTTATTTATATTTTATTCTATTATTTTCAATAATATTTTTTGGATAAATAAACTATTTATTTTTAAAACTAGAAAAAATTATTTAAAAAAGAAATTTAAATTGCAATTTTTTATCTTTTGTAATTTTATTTTTTTATTTTAAAATAATTTAGAAACTCGTACTTGAAACTGCTCTCCAATTTGAATGGACAATTTTTTTTTATCGTTCTATTATTTTATAGATCTTTAAATTCAAAAAAATAACCAATAACTAGTTATTAACTAAATAACTAATTATTAACTACTTATGCCATGTGGCTTCATTCTACGCTGCCACTTAGCTTAAGGAGAGGACTTTTTTCTCGCCTTTTAATAGTATATAGATAATAGAAGATATATTTTTTTGTTTATATTTTATTCTATTATTCTCAATAATATTTTTTAAATAAATAAACTTTTTATTTTAAAAAAAAATAATTAAAAATAGAAATTTAAAATTGCAGTTTTTTTATCTTTTGTAATTTTTTTTATTTTTACAATAATTTAAAAATTCATACTTGAAACTACTCTCCAATTTGAATGGACAATTTTTTTTTTAATTTTTTTAATTATAAAATTTATTTTATTATTGTATAGATATTTAAATTCAAAACAATAACCAATAACTAATTATTAACTAAATAACTAATTACTAACTACTTATGCCATGTGGCTTTATTCTAGGCTGACACTTGACTTAAGTAGAGGACATTTTTCTCTGCTTTTAATAATATATAGATATAGATTTTGCTTGACTGTAATAAGTCTGTCAATTATTGCTAAAGAAATTCCTGTTTGTGTAACGATAAGCGTGATATTCATAGAATATGTACAATATTTTAAGTAAAACCTTCAATTTGCCTTGTAGCACGAATTTATTTAGTATTACAATGAAAATACCTTGTAATAGAGTAAAATGAACAAATAGCAAAATTAACTAATTTGAGGTTAAAGCTTAGGTGACTGATTGAAGATCATTAATCATGATTCGGTTGGACTGAAGTAGGTCATGATGTCTCTCGCTATCCCGCCACCTAAGCGGGTTCCCAGTTGGGTCGACCACGGTGGTCAGATTTTGACCAATACAACCGTAAGCTCCAATCATACGTTCTCCACTTAAGTCCCGTTTAATGATTTCGAAACTTTCATTGTGTCATCCATATGAAACTAATGTCAAAATCATGAGTTGTAAATTGTAGCTCCACAACACAAGTTTTTATTTTTATTTAAAAAACTAATGAGATGTGATGCATCAACCAACAAGAGGAGCAGAAAATAGGCCGAGAATCACATTATATGGGAGGGTTAAACAGTGAAAACCAGAAAAGTTGTGGGATTAAACAGTGAAATCAGAGAAGTTGTTGGATTAAACAGTGAAAACCAGAAAAGTAGATCATTTTCCCACAGAGGAACATGGACTTTTTTGCTCCACTCTTCCACCAAGAAAGGTATGATTGCATAGTGTGCCCCTAATTTAACACCCACCCTCCCCTCCCCCCCCCAAAAAAAAAATTGCAGGACCAGTACTGATGCACAAGAATTACACTGTAAACCCAACAATACTTACACACAATACTTCCAGGGTGATGTACTGTTCTCTTACCCCTTTCTGCTCATCCTCAAACTATATGTTATAGCTTCCTACTGGTAATATATTCCCCAGAGAATTGAAGCCCTAATTAGGAAAAATGTTGGATCCGGCGAGTGATTTGGTACCACCACCTTCTTCTCCCACAATTTCATCAGTTTCTTCTTCTGATCTCGACACTGAGGTAACTAGTTATTGCTTATTCAGTTCCCTAACTGCATATTGTGTATGTGAAATGTGTTTGAAGTTTACGGTTAGGGTTTTACCGTGTGACCAGTCTACAGGTTCATTTTTTCATGATCGGAGTATAACGTTAGGGACGCTCATGGGAGTTACATTCCAGGCGATCACGTTTAGAGCTCCATCGATGACTCAGAACCGTCAATCGAACGTTGAAAGCTTCGTCGGCGCGGGGAGTTCTCGGAAGAACAGAAAGTCGAAGAAGAGTAGGGTGGCGGCGGTGGCCGCGGCGGCGGAAGAGGAGGAGCGCCGGAATTGTCGACGGCGGAGGTGGTGGAGGCTTTGCAGAGACGAGTGCGACTCCAAGCCTGCGTCGCTCGGGGAGTATCTCGAAGTCGAGCGGAGGTTGGGAGACGGAGCGATTGACGGTGGTGCGGCCGCCGCTGCAGCGGCGGAGCTTGAAGGTGTTGTCATTGACGCTCAGCCGACAAACGGAAGGACGTTATTCGCCGACGGGAGAGTTCTGCCGCCGGTAGAAGTTGAGGAAGAATCATCGTCGGCGGGAGCTTTGGGGTTGTGTAGATTTTCTGTGGCGTCACTCTCCGGAATCTGTAGCCGTGGTGCTGGCTGCGTTGGATAAGCATAAGATAGACTTATCTTTAAATTTTTGATTTGTCATTAAATGTGTTTAAACTTTATCATTAATATAGTCATTAAGAAGATGCAGAAACTCAGAGAACCAGAAAAGAATACAGTAACATCGTCCGTATTAGCCACGTGGCTGTCGTTTATTCTTGTTCTAATTTCTATATTTATATTGTCATGAGTATTTATTTGGATTTATTCTACTAAAGGAAAGGCTAATTTCGGACCTAGTATTTGTTCCTATCTCTTTAGGAGGGATACGAGAAACTGGGCTAAGAAAAAGGATGAATACAATATTTGACAAATTACACATAAAATTTTATATTCAACTTTTCTTGAGTATAATGTCGTGAGATAGTTCAAAAAGGGAATATAATTAGTGATGATTTATCTAGTCTATTTTAATTTGTTTGAGATTGTAGTACAGTTATTGTTGTGTACTCATATTACTTCTTCTTGATCTTGTCTGCTTTTCTGGTCCTCGTTTACTTATATTTATAAAGAAATCTAATCTGTACTAAAGACTTATAGCCTATTTGGCCAAGCTTTTTTTTTGGCCAAAGTGCTTTTCTTTTTTGCCAAAAGCACTTTTGGCCAAAAATTGAGGTGTTTGGCCAAGCTTTTGGAAGGAAAAAAAGTGCTTTTGAGGAGAAGCAGAAGCAGTTTTGGAGAAGCAAAAAAAAGTAACTTCTCTCCAAAAGCACTTTTGAGAAAAATACACTTAGAAACAGTTTTTTAAAGCTTGGCCAAACACTAATTGCTACTCAGAAGTGCTTTTCAAACTAATAAGTCAAATACAAACTGCTTCTCACCAAAAGTACTTTTGAGAAAAGCACTTTTGAAAAAAAGCACCGCTCAAAATAAGCTGATTTTTGCAACTTGGCCAAACGGGCTATTATTTGGGTGAAGTACTATTGAATGCTATATATTACCAAGGTTTTTTTTTTACTCTTAGCACGCGCCAGAAACTATTTATATTCTGTAGCTAATAATATATATAAAATTTATATAATTTTTATATATATATATATATATATATCGACTATTATTTTGAAAGTGGCCATACATTATCATTTTTCCTATTACAAACTTGAAGAAAACACCCTTTAGCGGTTATAAGTCACCAGCTGGCAGTAGATCACTGTCGATACTAAAGTTATAATCACAAGCATAATAAACACCTATGTCTGAAACAACAAGCAAACTGTGTTGCTGCAAAAGCTTTACAGGTAGCAATAGCATTACCAGATTTGAGGTTGTATGCTAATATATGACCAAAAGAAATTCATATGTAACAACGAACAATATATTATTTACAAAACTTTACATCAAGGTGAAATTAAAAACTAAATAAATAAACTTATCAGTTGTCTGCGTAACATTTCCTGAATATTTTATTTCGTGTTTTAGTTAGTCAGTACTTGAGTTCAGGATAGTAAAGTAATAACATAACCTATTATTTGAGCTTGCGCATCTGATGCCCCAAATGATAAAATATTCCTAAATTCTCTTTATCTGATGCCCCAAATGATAAGATGCTCCTAAATACTCTTGCAGGGTGGATCTAGTAGTTTACATGTGAATTTATTTTTAGCCTATACTTGTATTTATTTACGTAACATTACTGGAAATACTGAAAAATATAGAATCACGAACTCATAATTTAAATAAGATAATGAGTTTAATAGTTGAAACTTAAATTCTAAACCAATATAATAAAGTTTTAAATCCGTCTCTGCTCTTTTGCATTATCCCACTCATCTAGTGTATGGGGTCCGAAATTATCTTATTCCATCCGATCATATCAAGATTCAAGATTAGTCTTCGAGATTGCAAAATTTTTCACATCAGGACAAAAACGAGAATGGATTTTAGCTACCTCGTTTCTGTTATCCAGTTTGTCTTGTACTCTTCTTTAGGATTGGAACTTTGACTGAGCACGACATCTGATGAACCAGTCACGTGAATAGTTCATGTATCTCATATGGATTGTGGAAAGGAACAGCTAGCCCGATAAATCTTGCTGGGGGCCTTGGAATATTGAATGTGGGCCTTTCCTCTTCGTTAGATGGGCTTTGTCTCTCTTCAACTTTGGACAAATTATACTTGCTAATCAAATATACAATATATATATATATATATATATATATATATATATATATATATGAAAGAGATTTTTTCCTATCTATACCATATATGAAACTTTATTACCAAAAATATTTATATTATCTAAATTACCCGCCTAGTCCACATTTTTCCTACAATTTATGTACCATT